CGACCGACCAGACACAATCATTCGTTATTATTGCATCCACGTCGCCGTCTTGCACCATACGACCGTTCGCAAATGCTAGCACGACGTGCTTCCCTTTTGGGCAAAGACATCGGCGATGGATCGCCATTGATACCTACAGTTGGCAAAGATGGATTCCAGGTGTGCATGGACGTGTCGCAGTTCAAACCAAAGGAATTAACCGTTAAAACTGTAGACAAAACTGTTATTGTGGAGGGCAAACACGAAGAGCGAGAAGATGATCATGGATTGATTCAACGCCACTTCATCCGCAAGTACACACTGCCCAAAGACTATGATCCCAAAGACGTTGTGTCTACAATTTCATCAGATGGTGTTTTGACGGTGAAGGCACCACCACCACCAAGTAAGGCTATTAAAGCAAATGAACGCATAGTCCAAATACAACAAACTGGGCCGGCTCATTTGAGTGTTAAGGCGCCTGAAGAAGCTGCCAACGAAGGCAAACCAAAGGAGAATGGAGATAAGAAATCTGCGAAGTAGGTGGTAGCTTCGTGGAGAAGACGATACGAAGCATACACATACAAATGAAATACAAACATTCTTTTGCATCAGCTAGATCTTAGTACGTATTTTTTTCAAGTAACTGAATTCTTGTACTATTTTATGTTTTAATTGTATTTTGAAATTGACTACTATGTAGTATTAAAGTGCGTACATGAGTGTTTTTAACTGCCTGTAAACTGAATTTGTTCAACAAATAAATCTTAAGTTTTTTGTACTCTAGTAATTTTATTGTTTTTATCTTTGGGAAATTATAAATAATCAAGGTAAATTTGGCAAGATAAGCCCTACACAGCTCAATGCAAGCGTCAACTTTTGGGTGGGGTTTAGTAGCGCTCACATTCAGGTCTACCACGCAGAAAGGGAATTCTAGTTACCTCATCCTTTCCTAAGGTTACATCACTGCGGCGGTAGCCCCAGTTAAGTCACACAGAAAGGAGAATTCTACGTAATAAGGGTTATAATCCATAAGCGCGGCCAAAGGCCGCCTACGCAGGAAGGTGTTCTCTGCAAAAGGTGTTCAGATAGTGATAACCAGACATTGAACAACTGGCCCTAAAACTGTTTGTGTTTACAGAGTTGCAAAACATTGCAACATATAGACTGCTTTTACACAGTTGAAGTATTGAATTCAATTCTGCTCGCATGTGGAAGAGAGGGGGTGAGAAGAAAAGGGACGAGTACACATGCGTCTGTACCGTCAAGTCGTTTCAACTTTCTTGCTTTGCTTTTGGCATTTTCGTTGCTTCCCATTTAAAGAACCAAAAACTTGAATTCAACAGAATTGAAACCTGTAAAAGCAAATAGAAAACACAAAAGAGAATGAGCAAGAATTGCTTTCAAGTACTTGAATCATGTAAATCGGGTGATACATTAGGTGTGTACTCGTATTGAGAGGACAAAATTCTCCAGCAGAAAAAGTTCTGAGAATTCAGCAGCATTCGCTCTCAAAGAGACGAAATATCAACAGAAGTACGAGAACGCAAAATTTGCAAAAACTTGCAACCTTCGAAACATCTGATCACTTGCACAGTTGCCACTGGTGATTAATTTGGCAATTTATTTTCTGCTTGGTGCATTTTCCCCCGATTTGGCATTTTATACAATTGAATAGTTTTGGTTAAGAAAACCCTTTTTAAAATACGAATTAATTATATCGGAATGAATAAGTTATTTTTCTCATAATTATTTCTGATATCACATAGTGACGCATTAAAAACAAGAGTATCTCCTCCAAACACCCATCTTTGATCCAAAATAATGTAATAGAGTAGGTTTAAAATTATAAAATTTTCATTTCAACAATCAACCTACCAAACCGAAAACTTCAGCAAAACAACATTTTAGCATGTTGCATTTAAATCTATTTTGGTATATTTAAAGGAAATTTATGGTACAAACGAAAAATGTCATACGGCAACCATAGTCAGCACGCACTAAGGGCCGGTTGTTCAATGTCTGGTTATCACTACCACTACACTATCGACGATTTCGACATCATGCATGTAACATGTGATCGATAAAGCAGTGGTTGTGCTTAACCGGAGCTTCTACCTCCGATTTGTGCTAATCAGACATTGAACAACCGGCCCTAAAGTAAACAAACTGCATTTTAATTAATGCATTAATAGCAAATTAACGAAAAATAAATTCAACAAACGTTGTGCTTATTAAATTTACGCACTTTTTAGTTATATACTAGCATTAATAATAAAATTTGCAATAAATAACTCAAAAAGGCCATATTTTCTTTTGTTTATTTACAAACATGTGTTTGTGATCAGCTGATTTTCTTACTTGCAAGTTTTCGCTGGGAAACATTTTTCCAGCAGAAATTTGCAGCTCTCTTTCACATTTTGCTCTCTCAATTTCCCCTACTTTGCAAGTTTTTGGGGTACGAGAACGCAAAACCAGTAAAAGTTTTCTAAAACTTTAGATAGTTAGGCGTACGAGTACACACCTATTGCATATTTTGAATATTTAGTAAAACAATGATCACCATTTCGGTATTTTCCATTTTTAAAACCCAAATGGTAACTAAAACCAAACGAAGCATCAACTTTGTTTTTGATGCGCTGATTACTCTAGCGATACGTTTCGATAACTTTTCGGAAAAGTATACTATTAGTCTGTTCCTTTGAACTTCGGACTAAAACCTGTGGAACTGTCAAACTACAATTTTACGCTCTCAAATGAGAGTAAAAGGAGAACAGATGCAGAAGTGCATAGGAACGCAAAAAGCACTATTTCCTGTAAAAACGTCAGACGGTTTGTTTACATGTCATTGGTGCTACACCGATTTGGCTGAAATATCACTAAATAATTATTAAAATTTATACATATTCAAATATTTCGTTGTTTACTTCCATTTTTTAACAAATATAAGCTTCTTTGCTTTCACTGCTTTCTGTTTTTGTTTGCACATGTAAATCAGCTGATCGTTTGACACTTTTCATGAACTTACAGGAAAAAAATCTCCGGACTAAATCCTGTAACTTCTGACTAGGAACAGTTGCTCATTTACTCTCTCAAATGTGTTCCCACTTACAGGTTTTGTGTCAATAGGAACGACTTCCTGTAAGTTCTGACTAAATCCTGTAAGCCGGACTGCTATTGGAACAGACTAATTGTCAAACAATAGTTGCGTTTGGTACGTATCAAGGTGTATTAAACAAGGTGTGATTGACAACTCAGGTAGGCTCTCTTTTAAGGTACTATTATGCAAAAAAATATAAACAATCGATTTAAAATTCATACAAAATTTTTTCAACTTGACTTTATAGGATGGTTCTTCTGAGAGCAATGTCAAATTCAATCACACTTAGTTGAATATATTTTGGTACGTATGCAATGGAATTGACGTTTTGGAAGTCAGCCGTGTTCTCTGCGAAAGGTGTTCAGCCCCCCTTCTTTCGCCTGATAACCACCTTGGGATAATTTCTTTTATTTAAAAACCCCACAGATTCTGTTAGTTTTCATTCTCCAATTGCGGGTAATATTCCGATCTCAATTTGCGTATGTGTATATAAAAAGAATAAAATAAAAAACAACACAATGGAAAAGAATGTCCAGCAAAAAATATGTATTTTAATAATTGAAGAGCCAAAATGTACTAAGCAAAGAGAGAGTAAAAAGAGCTACACTTTCCTAAGTAAAGAGCCACATTTGGCTCAAAGAGCCGCGTTTGCCCACCATTGGTATATATGTATGTATGTAAATCTATTGTTGGACTTAGATTGTTTGGAGTTTTCAATCGTTAACGGTTGAGAAAGTATCTTGAAGGCTTACAACAAAAGATAATATTTCCTTCTCTAACCATGGTTTCACACGGGATTTTTGTCAAGACTTGGCCAAAGCCCAATATTTTTTCATCACACGACTGGGCTATCAAGTTACACCAAATTTAATGTTACTGATATGAGTTCTAAAAGTGAAACAAATCTGATCATAATATGATAAGGATAGTTCTCAATCCCTCCGCCAACTATCGGAAGACAAACACACTGATCCTTCTAAAAACTTTTGCACAAAGCAACAATCATTCAATGCGATTTTAAAATCTGGGAGAAAATGGTTCCCTATTGAATGATTCTTGCGATTCTATATGTGTATAAAATTGCATTACCTTATAATAAGTGGTTCCAGCGATAAGCGATATGAGAATTTCAGTTTCTATGGGCGGTGCCAAGCCTCCTTTTCCAAAATTTACCTCTTCGCCGTAAGTACGGTATTTACAACATATGTTGCTGTGTAAAATTTCGGGACGTTAGCATAAGCGGTTCCAGAGCCAGTGCCACGCCCACTTTTCCAGTACCCACAATTTTTCACCGTAAGTAGGGTATTTACAATCTATGCATCTGTACTAAGTTTCAGTTCCCCAGGATAATTGATTTTAGAGATATAGAGGTTTTCACATTTTAGTCTATATGTCAGATGTCACGCCCCCTATATGTCGGGTTTAACATTTCTGGATTAGAGGAAGTTATGTCAATTAAATCGGTGTATGTTTCATTGAAATCGAGCAAACCGTGCCTTCAAAAAAGGGATTGCAAAATTTTCTTGTGGCGTATTTATATATAGATGCCAGTTTTTTGGTAAATGAGCATAATATTATGTTTACATAAGTATGTACGTACATATGTAGTTTGGCAATTTTTGGATAAAAACTACATTTTACTTGCATTTATTATTCACAAAAAAACTTTTATTTTTTTATTTTTGTTTTAAAATTACATTAATATAGGTAATATTATTCATGGTTCTTTTTAGTATGCGATTTATACTTAATATTAATAATAGCATGTTGTATTAATTAAATTAATTGTAAAATTTCTGTTTTTTATGATTTTGTAATCGCAAATTTGCATGTATGTATTTATAAATACTTTACAGAAATCGAAAGAAAGAAAAATGTATATAATAATTAAGTAAATACGTAAGCAACTACAAATTTATTTTTAGTCGAGGCCGGAGTATTAAGGGGAGAAAAGGTATTGGCCAAAAACACATAAACAAAGAAACTGTATTTCTCTCCATTCCGTTCCGTATTTTATACCCGGCTAGCTTGGCAAACCACGGACAATTTTCGTATAATTATACGATTCGCACTTAAATGCAACCAATCGTTGTTGTTGTCGTAACAGTATACAAACTCCCCAAAGAGGTTTTACAGAGTGATGCTGGAGTGAGAGTCCTTGGCCAGATATAAGTCTGGGTCGTTCCTGTTTCGTAGGCCCGACTGTCGTGGGAACGTTATTTTGGTGTGGTTAAAAAGCTAGCCGAAATCTGCCAAGGGAGTGAACGAGATGTATCTTCTTAGGTTTATTTGCTAATTGGTATTGGCGTTGAAAAAGTACTTCAACAATTACTTTTTTACAAAATTAAACTTTTTAAGGCGAAATGCTAAGCAACCGTTTATTATAGAAAAATATGTTTTGCTAGTTGCATCGATTTACTTTTAGTTTGGTATCATTTAATTGTATGTATGTATGTATGCATATTTTGTTGTAATATGTTTATAAAGTTATTTTGCATTCATGGACAGGCAAAATGAGAGCAAACGTTGGCCTGCATGACTGAATAGCAAACAAAAAAGGGAATACATATGTAGGTACTCTCTAAAACTTGCTTTTTTATTATTTCGATCCATTGATTTATTCATTTACACAATTCAAAATCATGTATTCACGCAAAAGAAAAATAAAAAAAATGTGTATTCTTGCCATTTTGTCTGTATGTATGTTCGAATCGCAAATCAAGTCTAAAAATTACATAATAGAAAAATCACAGTTTTTTAAGCATCAACTTAACTCGACCATTTGTCTGTGGTTCAATAAATGGTTAAAGCAAATGCTGAAATAAACGAAACAATGTTGTTCTGATGAACTTATATTATGTATGTATGTGTTATGAGATATGACTTTTTTGAACACACATAGGCCAAATCCAATATTTGAATTGAGTTTCCAGCTAAAATGTACCTAAACTTTTATGTTTTATTGCAAATCGTCATCCAAGCTTGGATGAATATTTAATTAAAGCTAAATTCACACAAAACTGCCTTAAAACAGGTTACTTCGTACAACCAAATTTTTTCTGATGCTCATCACAAAACCAAGTGAATTCCCGATTTACTGCTATAGTATTGATAGATTTAATGGCAGCCACTAATTCATCCCTTTGAATTAGACCCAAGCTTGTATTCTGTTTCACTACCACAAATCTTGTCTGATATCTGCTTGTCAGTAAGGGCAGTTAATATTTTGGATGGTTGTTTCGTTATGCTACTATTTGCCTTCGCTAATTTACAGAAAATGTAGTGTGCCTTCAAAACATGAAGAAGTTCAGCATAATATTTTTGGCAAAGACAACTATAGACATATCGTTAAAAAAAAAACTGTCAACGATTAAAACACAGCTAACAGGCCCACCAAAAGGGCCTTTTCACACAAAATCGAAAATTAAAATTTTTTAAGATGAGTGCGATCTAAATCTCTTTAGCTCAGATTTGGGATGCAAAATCGAGGAGGAAGGAACGGACAATTCAGTCAAAAGATATAAATTTTATCTACCATTGAAAATATTAGTAGGTTACGGTGGTTATTGTTTGTTACACCACGTAGATTCTAAAGGAGAGTTTAATTAATCGACTAATTTCACTGCCCTAGAGCTTCTCAGGAAAGCGAGCCGATATAATTACATAAGCTACAACGTGATAAAGATTATATTTTAGGATCATTTTTCGCTTTGTCGTCGCTCGGCTTTCTTTTTGAAGTCTATATTAACATAACAATAATCTATGTCTTAAGCTAGGATCCCACTATCGGCGCAAATAGCACAATATGTACCGATTTTCATCGCGCTTGATTGGTACATATGTATTAAAAAAATTGTGTACAACCCCGTTTTGAGTGGTCCCATTATTCGCATATTGTGACAATCTTTTTCGGTGCTTACCGGCCAATAAAAATATGTGACAATAATCGGTACAACGTGATCACTATCGCGCTTGATTAATAACAATAAGCAAATTGTCGAGGTTGATCGCGGCATGAGCGCCCGATAAAATTCGGCGCATTTTTTTACAATTTGGTTGTTCTACAATTAGCAAAAGAGTGTTCACATTATCGGTACAGCAATATTAATTTTGGTTGCTTATAGTCAGCATAATTTCGGCTCAAATTGCCGCATTTCGAAAAATTATGTTTGTTCACACTACCGGTACATGAAGAGCGTGGGAAATCGGCCCATTGTGCCGATAATGGGATCTTAGCTTTAGAAAGAAACATAGGGAAGCCAGCAAAACTGAACATTGTTAAAACCTTAAAGGAAGTTACAGAAACTGCTTTGCCAAAAATATGTATGGTTGTATCTTATCAGCATTATAAAAGCTGACATTTTTGTATTTAATGCCTCATCAAAGTTATGGGAGGCATACATTTTTCCAGAATATTTTTAAAAAGTCTTATACTATGCACATAGTTAAATTAAAGTTGTTTACTCATTTAGAAACAACTGGAAGTAAATTAGGTATATTAAACGCTTTTCCGAATTTAGCCCAAATTTCTCAATATAATTTTTTGTTGTAACATTAGCAGTCTTGAAATTCATTAGTTTACTTTAAGGGAACCAGTATAACCAATTAATAACAATTTGATGAGCATATCGAGCCTTATGTATATTCAATAACCTCTATCTGCAATTTTCATAAATACTAATTTCTGATCTTAGAATCCCTATAGGACATAGCAGTCATCACTGATATTAATTCTAGCCTTGAAATCCATTAGTAAATTCTACTCACAAACTTGCATTAATATTAGCTGTGACAGTTAAGTCTTAAATGGTTTTTATGTCAGAAGCAAATTTTTGTGAAAATTACAGGTAGAGTGTATTGAATATAAGCCCTCGATATGTACATATTGCCAGTGGCTGAAATGGTATGTATTACAGATGGCAACTGGCAAACTAAAACTGGCAACTGAGTTGAGTTGCTATATTGACAACTGCATTTTTGTGGTTGCTGCGGAAATTTTGATTGAGATAAATTATGTATTTTTTCAACCGTTTCTTCAGCTTAATTCAAAATTCTATTATTTTCCACTATGTATGACTTAACTATAGTTGTTATTCATAATATACATTTTCTCCTATCGGCGATCCAATTGAGGTTGCGTTGCAATCCATAATCGACCCATTAGAACCAAAATATTACTTCAACAAGTGAAACAAACGTCGGCATTTTTTTACCAGAAGCGTATGGCTGAAAAATGTCTTGTCTAATTCGCTGTGCTTTCAGGCTTTGTGTGTAGATAATGTTTTCTTTTAGCTGTAGATATAGTTCTTGTTTTGAGATTGAAAATACAATATAGTACATATTATTCAATTTTAAATTTCGTACATTTTTATTTCTAATCCGCAACAAGGGTATGTAAATAAACAGGAATTATGTCTGTATTGCATAAAGTAATTAATAGATTATGCACGCAACAATTCTTTTACCTTAAGTATGATTAGATACGATACATGTATAAAATGTTATAAACGCAAATTTTGCAAACTGCCAGTTTTACAAAACGAAACAAATTTTTTGTTATTATTATTGTGGCGTAATAAACATATTATATATTGAAAAAAAAAACAAAAAAACTGCAAAGTTTATTAAATTCTATTTCAATACTAAATATTGGATTTGTCCTGTTTAGAGCGTGAGATTAAAAATTCAATAAACTTTTCTATTTGATTTTTTCATGGCTTTTTTGATACATCGGTATCTACGTACTTTACTAGCTACAGTTTACTCGCTACAGGCTGATCGCAATCGCTGTGTTTTTGGCTAAGCTCCACTCCGACACCAGCGAATATTGAAATGTTTCACATAGTACGCGTGTGTGACCCAATGGGATCATCTAAAAACTCATTAAGCGTGAATAAATATTGGACGCAAATATATGTACTATGTATTTTTCTGTTGTTCGCCGCACAGAGAAAAACGGATATGTGCGACCCCAACAACTTAGAGAGCAGCGTCAACTCAGTACATTTATTTCTATTTTAATGTATTCTTTTTTAAGAATTGGACTTTGTAAATTTAGGCAGAACAGAAATTAATGCTCATTTTCTGAGCAAATTTTCACAACTGCCACTTAAATTTGGCAACGACTTAAACATTGGTTTCGACGAATACTGCTGCCGCGGTCTTCCTATTCCAACCGCTGCAGCAGTGCTGGGCATAACTCTACTGTTCATTGATTCCGCAGCGCGGCGACAAGCTCCAAACTCGTCCACTGTGTGCAACGATCGACGCAGAGATGCTTGTGTCTGACGTGTTGTTGGCATTGTCATATGCGCCGCATAGGCTGCTGGTGGTGACAGCGGAGACGTAGGCAATTCCATATCTAAAATAGTATCCGTCGCACTAGCGGAGTGCTGCTTCAATAGTTGGCGTACACGTTTACTGCCGCCTATCGGTACGGTTGATGTTGCTGTTGGGTAAAGCGGCTCTATGGGGACAGCTGATGGTAGTAAGACATCGTTAACTGGTGCACCCAGCATCGGTTCACTATCTGGACCGATTACGAGTTTTGTGTCCGAGTAGCGGCGCAGGTCTTTTCCTAAAAATTGGTCTAACTGCTCACTTACGGCTTCGACATCCGGTACACTAGGCGGCGTTACCGCGCTCGAGTGTCGATAGCTCTCAGTGGCTGGATAATCCACTGACGATTCCATGCTCAAGCCCATTGAGTCATTGAGGATGTCACGATTCTCTATGAAAATCGATGAATTAGAGTAGCGTTTGGTGTGTGGCTTGTAGGTGAAACCACCCAAGCCATTGGCCACTGCATTCGAAACACCGGAGCTGATAGAGGGTGCTTTTTGATCTCCACTACCTGTTGATCAGAATGAAATAAAAAATAAAAAACAAAGAGTTTATTAGAAATATTTAAGAGCATATTTTATATTAAAAGAAAAATTAATGGCTAAACATTAAAAATTGTTTAATGTGAAACATATCGAGCCCCAACCGCTGACGTTATTTTCGTCATTAGAGCTCGATATGTATAAACATACATATTCAATTTAGATATACATACATACTATCCGACTTGTCAATATGACCTTATTTAATAGCTTTAATGAAAAACTTTAATATTTCGAAAAGCTTTAAACTAACTTTAAAACTACAAAAGCTATGTTTGAAAGGAAAGAAAAGAGATGAACTTTCTATCTCCATCATATGGATGAATGCGGATGAGTATCATTTATATACCTCGCAACCAACAATACATACATAATAAATGTTCTTTTTATATATTTGGATTTTGTATGTTAACATCTTAAGCTGTTTCGACGGCGTTGGACCAAAAAGTAAGGGGTGTTTTTGAGGGGGCGGCATGTGAAGAGATGGTTGGAGTCATGCCAGAGTAACGCGGGTCTCGTGAGGCAATTGGTAGTGATTCGACTCCTAAAACGGCACTTATGGGGCGATAGGTAGAGAAGATGGTTTCCGTTGACTTCGTGGGGAGAGAGTTAAGCTCCTTGCGTTGAAGTAGCAAGCGAGTTTCAGAGAGATATCCGTTTACTGCGAAACTCCCTCCGCCCTCTGGTGGGTGCGGGAGCTTCAAAATATAAATATTAAACAAAGGGGAGGGGTGGGCACCACCCAGCGCAGGTGCGGTCGCCGGGGACTAGCAGGATGCAGTGGATGAAACTACAGACTGGCCAAACAGAGCACTACAGACAGCCATGGCATCTTCTGATGTCGCCCGAACATCACCTTCATAGCGGGGCCCAAATGATCCCAGTAAGGGAACACAACATTATGCTTTGCAATCAGCTCCTAGCAGGGTGCTACAGGCGTGATCACCCGAACAGACACGTTCTTGAAGCGGCGCATCCAACAGGGCTCGTCGGAAAGCATCTCTACGAATAAGAGCGTGGTTACGACCGAACGTGTACGTAGCGTAGCGTAGATGTACGTAGAAACATATCAAGTTTGCTGTTGGTGGAGAGGGAGAGAAGCAACGTCTACGTTACGGTCATGCGGTGGAGAGTTTTTCTTAACATGCAGATCCCATAAGATAGGTCGTGGCACCTGACACGTTCTCCGTTCTTACGTCCGTGGGTAACTGCGCTTTAAAGGACAATGCCTGACGCAACCACTGGACCCGACTTTGTATAGACAGGCCATGTGGCTGCTGCAGCAGTCTCAACTCTTGAGCAGACTAGACCGCGACGTACTTACTGTATGCCCGGCATGTGGCGGGTCCCCGGATGACATTATACCTCTCGTAACATGCCCACACAACCCAACACAAATTAAGTAAAAGCATAAACAGACGGCAATGTTGATCCGGATTGACGGGCCAATTGACCTGACCAAAATTGTGCCTTGACAGACGGCAGTAATGCGGATTTACGTGCCGCGAGGTCGTAGGTTCGAATCCCATGGCTAGTACAGAATTCATTAAATATTTTTTTATTCATTCAATTATAAATTCTATTGAGCGATTCACAACGGTGTCATAAGTGTCGTATTGCTGCATGATTGAATCATGGTATTGCTGTATGTCATAAACTTTAAAAGCTTAAATAAATGTTTAGAGAACTTTAAACGTCAACCAACTATTTTTTAGCACTACAAAAAATCATAATATGACTTTGTTGGTACTGTGCGAACTCCTTTAATATATTTCTTAGGCGTTTAAAGTTTACGACATACAACGATACGACACTTACGACACCGTTGTGAATACCCCATATATTTTTTAAAGTTGTTTTTGTTAGTTGTCTTTGACTTTTTTAGTAAAACTAAACCCTAAAAATTTTAAATTTGCTAAATTTGCTCAGAGAGCGTAGAACACGAAAAAAATTCAAAACTAGCATGTCGTCGGTAATGCAGTCACCGTATTAATTCAAATAAGTTCTTATTTAATTTCAATTGGATTCCTATCTGAATTAGTATGATGATTGCATTACCGATGAAAAGGTATATATATGCCCATGCTAGTTTTGCCCTTTCTCTGTATTCTACGCTCTCTGGTCGGTTATCATCGAATTGATCCGAGTTAAGTTTGGGAATTAACTCTAGGACTTAATTCGGATCAACGCTAGTTAACTCCCGAGATAATTCCGAATTGATCCGGATCAACGCTGCCGTCTGTTTAAGCTTTAAGAGTAGCAGTCTTTCTGAGCCTCACGCAGCGACCATTTAGATAGTTCGCCGTTACCGGTTGAGTTAGTGTACCACTTATTTATAATTGTTCTTCTTGTAAATAATTAACAAAAAAGCAAAAACAATTAACTATGACAAATAAATTAGGATATAAAAACTTCGCCCCTAAATAAGGAACGTATTTAAAATTTGCTTCTATTCTATAACCAATCTTCTGTATTTATTATTCGACAATTTACTCACCACTAAAACTGCTTAATTGAAGCGCATGTTCCCGTCCGGTATCTGTGGAAATACCACCAGTGCTAAGATCTTGCCGTGAACCACCGCAAACGTCATTTACCGAGCCACGACTCGAATTCTCTGAATGTTCGAGTACGTTGTGTATTGAGTCATGGAAAGGTGTCATGCTACCGGATCCCTGTGGGCAGGGGCGGAAGGACGAGATCTGCGAAACCACATCATCCAACGCCCAATCGCGTTCATAATTACTTTGCAGCTGAGCACACTCAATATTCGCCGCTACAGCAACTTGTCCCACTTGTTGTTGTGGCGTCAAATGGTGATGATGTGCTGCAGGTAATGCGCCTGAATCAAGATCGTCAGTTTGTTGCAGACGACGCTGCTCAGCCGGAAGATGGTAGTGGTGAAGAGAATGTTGATGAAGAGCCGTCGCACCTTCTATGTCTATGCTGCCAGCAATACTATCAGTCCTAGCGGCAGAGGCATAGTTGTAGCCATTGGAGGCAGAAGCGCCATTGGCAACTACTTCGACATTTGGGCCATCACATCCAGCTGGTGGCCCATTTGCGCTGCATGGGTGTGGTTCGCTGGGTCCTTCGTGGCGAGCGCGATGTGTGATTGCGGGTGATGGAGGCGACAAGGGATGCACTTTTTCTGGTGCATTTTGAATGAGGAGAATCCTATAGCAGAAAAAAATTTAAAATAACAATAATACTTTTTTAGAGTGGTATTTTGATATGAACCTATTTCTGGCCTTCCAACGATGACATAAATGTAGATAAGCTTTACATTGAATATACATGAAGACAACGCCACCCGTAAGACCCACCGTTACTACGGCCAATTTTGTCCAAAAGGGCCAATCTAAAAAATATCCAATAGTTAAAATCATAATTTTTTAAGAGCCGATAACTTACTCTAAAGATTAAACCAAGTACATAGTTACTTACCAATCAGTCCACGTTTCACATCATCTGCGGCACGTTCGATTAACACGCAAAGTGACCAAATAACGCATAAAGCCGCAGCACAATGGAACAGTACTGAACAACAGAGACGTCTGCGCTCAATTCCAGAAATGTCAAGGCTACGCCACTGTAATGAAATGAGGTTTATTTTATTATATTTAGACGCTATTTTTACGAATATATACAAAGCGAATTGTTTTTGAAATGGCTGAAACATACATACTTAAGCATAAAACAAAACTCCAAACCTAAGAAAAAAACATGCTAATAATAATAATATTTTGACGCTTACACTTTTTCCAAGTGTTTGGCTGAGCTTGCCATCCAATTCGTGGAGGCACCTACCGTTTCACCCCGCCTCCGAACGGAAAATGAATTTTATCAGAAGCTTTTTCATGGCAGAAATACACTCGGAGGTTTGGCAATGCCTGCTGAGGGACGACGCTGTTAGAATATACTTTTTCTAATTTAGGTGTTTCCCGGTCTAGGGATCGAGTCCACCCAGCCACAGTGGCAAAAGCATTCAATGCACCCAAAAAGATGTTTAGAAGTACTACTGTCCCCGCAAACATATTCTGAGCGTTTAGAATATATGAGTCCGAAAGGAGTCCTAGGTAGGTAAGAAATATGAGTTTCAAAAACAAAAAAGTTTTTACTCGTATATGAATCTTTTAGGATTCACATATAATCCAAGTTAGGAGCCAGCAGCCTTGTGCCAATATAAAAACAATAAAGATTTGAAATTTATATCTAAACTTGTTTATACAGAAATTGAAAATAATTAGAAAATAAAAAATTAACAAAGTTTAGCTGCAGCTGCTTTTGAATTCATGTTGGAATTTGTATATGCACGTAAGTATGTATGTACATATCGGTGGCTGAGTGGAAGATCGACCTATCTCGGCAGCCAGTTCAAAAACGGCCTATCTCAGAAAACTTTTCAAGAACGCCCTACATACATAAGAATTTGATTGAAAAACACCCTATCTCAGAATTTGGTTGAATAACGCCCTATCTCAGAATTCGGTTCAAAAACGCCCTATCTCAAACGAAAATACATTGAAAATAAGCTGAGATAGGGCGATTTTGAATCGGCAGCTGAGATAGGGCGTTTTTCAATCAAATTTTGAAGTCGGGCGTTCTTAAAAAGTTTTCTGAGATGGAGCGTTGTTAAAAAATTTTCTGATATAGGGCGTTTTCGAACTGGCTGCCGATATAGGTCGATCTTCCACTCAGCCATCGATATGTTATTTGAAAGGAGTTTTTGCTGAATGCCTTTGCAAATTAGTGCGTTTAATAAGACTCAAAGAAGAACCTAAAATAAGAGTCCGAATGTAGTAATTTATGAGGCCGATAAGAGCCTCAAAAAGAGTCTGAAATGATTCATATGTGAGGCCCAAAATTGTTTTAAAAGAGTCCAAAATTAGCCGCATATGAGGCCAACTCATATTGAGGCTCATTTGATGTACGAATTTAAGCTCATATGTATAAGTCGACCTTCGGAGGAAGGGAAACGCCCTCATATCGTACTCTTAAATGAGCTCATTGAGGGATGGCTCCGAAATAGGACCCCTTAAATACTCATTTATGACTCCAAATGTTTGCTGACTCCAAATGTTTCCGAAAGTTACCCTATTATTCACTGCGTAGGCCGGATTTAGAGCCCTGCACCCTCAACAGAGTTATATGTAATACACACCTCTAAATACTTAGCTACGGTGAACAAGTGACCTATGAAAACCAAAAATTAAAAATACTCTTAGTTCCTTAGGGGATTCAGTTGCGCAGTTGCGTGATGCACCAAATTGATTGACACTTGTGCTGATTGACATAGCATAGGTTCTGGCAAAATATTTTTTTATTTTCACTTTTAATTCAACATATTTTGATTAAAAGAAAAATACTGATAAAAATAAAATATTTCACATAAACAACAAAAAATATAATCGATATCCGCATGAGGCTATTGCCTGAAAATTTTAGCACTTAGTGGCATTGTGCTACTATGATAGCACGCCCAGTAATCATAGTCAACTAATGTACAGTAGACTGCATCTCTCCCCATCCAAAAAAAAACATTGGTACTGTTTTCCACTAGAATTATAAAATCTATTACATTTTCAAACTTTAAGTTTTAAAATATTATTTTTTTTTGTTATTTAATTTTGGTTAGTTTTTTTATAGTTCATTCTTTAACAACATCCGTTTAAACACGTCCATAAACCTAGCTGACCCAAGTCGCCAAAAATCAATAAAAAATTAGCTAGGAATTAGGTGTCTTTTAGGTGTTAATTAGGGCCTCCAAAATTAATTTAGGTGTTCCTTTGGTTTCCGAGAAATTCGCAAAATGTGTGGGTCAGCTAGGTTTACGTAAACCTAGCTGACCCATCGTTAAATTTAGGTTTTATATTTTCCAGATATATGCTGGAATTAGGTGTCTTTTAGGTGTTCTTCAACGCCACTAAAACTAATTTAGTAGCTCCATTAATTTCCGAGAAATTCGCAAAAATGTGTTTTTCAGCTAGCTCAGCGCTGTTAAGCTAGCTGAACAATCTTAAATTTTTTTTTAAATTTTCGAGATACATATATGCAGGAATTAGGTGTCTTTTAGGTGTTCTTCAACGCCACCGAAACAAATTTAGTAGCTCCATTGGTTTCCGAGAAATTCGCAAAAATGTGTGGGTCAGCTAGGTTTAC